TGGTTGACCTAGAGAAATCTTATGTGACCTTCTCCGTACATAATAGGCCTTTAATATACATCTGTTTATTTTAATTTTTGCCATTAAAAATGAAATTTTATTATTGGAAAAGACCTTTAAATCATTTACTTTTTAAAGTGAAGAAGCACAGATTAGAAGATGGAAATAAAATAAAGAATTAAGACACCTTTCTGGCCTTCCTTGTGTGGGGCTTTTGTGTAGGAAGCTGAAGTTCTTTCTCTCCTCTTTCCATTACCGTTCCCAATACCAGTTATTATTTATCAGGCTACTAATGTGTCAGACACCAAAACCATCATTTTAATCCTGCAACAACTCTCCAAAGTAGATCTTATTGTCCACATTTACAGATGAGGAAACGGAGACCTTGAGGGGCTACTGCAGTGTGTCCAAGGTCATAAAGCTCATTAATGTGGAGCAGAGAGCCAAACCTGCCCTTTTTTAGTCCAAAGCTGTGCTGTTTCCAATATGCAGCCTGTGTCAGGCCAGGGAAGGAGAGGACCATGATGGGCTTGGTGAGGTACTCATGGGTGATTGGTCATGTACTCGTGGATGATTGATGGAGTACTAACGGATGATTGATGGAGTACTAACGGATGCTTGGTGAAGTGCGAGTAGATGTTTGGCAAAGTACTAGTGGATGAAAGACGGAGTATTAAAGGTTGATTGATGAAATACTAGTGAATGATTGGTGAAGTACTTGTGGATGACTGGTGAAGTACTCATGGAGGATTGGTGATGTACTCGTGGATGATTGATGGAGTACTAATGGATGATTGGTGAAGTGCGAGTGGATGTTTGGCAAGGTACTAGTGGATGAAAGATAGAGTACTCGTGGATGATTGGTGAAGTACTCATGGAGGATTGGTGATGTACTCGTGGATGATTGATGGAGTACTAATGGATGATTGATGGAGTACTCATGGATGATTGGTGAAGTGCGAGTGGATGTTTGGCAAGGTACTGGTGGATGAAAGATAGAGTACTCGTGGATGATTGGTGAAGTACTTGTGGATGATGGGTGAAGTAGCCAAGGGAAGGAGGGGAGGGGTAAGAGAGAAAGAGCAAAGCAAAGACAGTAGAGATGTGGCGTAAGTGACGAAAGGCAGTCAGATGAAGTGTTGGAGTTAGTAGGGTGGTTTCCTCCACCCTCCAGACGTTGATGGCTTGGAGGCCTTTCCGTGACAGACAGCGGGGCAAGTGGGCTCTAAGGTGGTGGAAGAGGAAGACATTGGCGAGTCGCTTGACTCCTTTAGAGAGGAGCTGTGCCTGTGACTGCTTACACAGCCTTTGCCCCTTGACAGATGTGCTTTCTCCTGCCTGGGATTCTGAGGATGGTGAGGACAAAGTGAGGCTTAAAGGGATGTGCCTTCTAGTCACTGCATTCACTCAACATCCTTGAGCTTTTTGGGATTTCATTGTGAAATTAATCAGACCTAAGAAACATCTGATGTCTGGTGTCTTCTCCTTGCATATAACTCTTGATGACATTTAGTTTCAAACCCGTAGCTTTAGCATTTCCTTGTTTCTTTGTGCCAGAGTTTCCAAAAGTGGAAAATTGTTTTCTTACAGGATGAAAATATGTGAATGAAACCAAGATACAGTTTGCAGGGAAGATTAACACAACACCAAGGCTTTGAGACCATGACAATGGCAGGGGTGTGTAGGTATAAATTTGAGTGGTTATCCTCAGGGCATGATATTTCTTCCGTAGGCTGCTGCTGGGTGGCAGCCAGACTGACTACAAGTTTTGGGCAGGAACCATCCCTTTTTCCAGGTTCTCAACCTCAACCACATTGTTCCAAAGCATAGCTGCCAAGAAAAAAAAAAAAAAAGAAAAATCCAAATAGAAAATCCACATAATGAAAACCATGGACGCAAGGGGTGCTTATAGTTCTATAGACTTGCACGTAAAATTATTTTGGGAAAAGCATCAATTTTAGGATATATAAGATGGGCATGAATGATGATTATGGCTGTTGTATTTTTTTAAAAAATGAGCGTCACCAGTGATTTAAAAAACACTGTGAATTCTGTTGGCTAAGGCTGTGGAAAAAAAGGCATTCTCATCGGTTCCTGGGATGAATGCAAAATGGTATAATCCCTGGAGAAGGGAATTTGGCAATATCTGAGAAAACTACATGTGAATTTACCCTTTGACCCAATTCTGCAGGACTTTATCATGAAGAAACATCTCCAACAATATAAGATTACACGTGCATATGGTTATATATTGCAGTATATTTGTAATTGCAAAATGTTGGAGATAACCTAAATATGGACACACAGGAGACAGGTTGAATACACATAATAGAAGAGTACTAGCAGCTTTTATGGAGTGATTTTCAGGATTTACTACTCAGTGAAAAAAGCAAAGAGCAAAAGAGAATACATAGTATGCTACTTTTGGGTAAGAAGTAAGGGGAAATAATATATGTGTAGCTATTCAGTTTTTACAAAAAGGTACATAGGAAGAATAAACCAGAAACTAGTGAAATTTACCTACAGGGGGAGGATGGGAACAGAATGGAAGGGCTACGGGGAGAGAATGACTCTTCTCTGGGCCAGCATTTGTGTATGGTTTGACTTTTGGAACCATGTTAATGTTTTACATATTTATAAAGTAATTCAACAAGTTTGGAGAAGAAACTCTAAAACTGAATACAAACAGAAACAAGGAAACTGAACTATACATCAAATGGATAATCATATAGAATAAAAAAAAGAACTTACCCAAGTAATGTTTGAACATAGTACCTTGACTAAATTTCTCAGTCTAAACACAACACAAGTCTAAACACAAGAAATCTTGAACTCTGCTTAAGGGGTTTATTGCTTCCCGGAACAGGGGTAGCAATTCTGAAACTATTTTGTGTACATTGTAGCATTGGCAAATAAGTAACCATTCTGACATTGTTGGGAGCCAGAGTGCTCACTTTTGGAGAGGGGAGGCACAGATCCGGAATGCAGGAAGGGAAGGAGAACCCTGTGGGCTGGATTGGTAAACACTCATGCTTTTTTCTTTCTTTCTTTTTAAAAAGTATTTCCTAGTTCTGTTTGCTGCAAGAGTGAGTACCCGTGAAGAGATCTGTTTCCCAAATCTTGGTTTCTAAAAATCATTCCCTTCTAAAAGGACCCAGGGCTGCTGCTTTTTTTTTTTTTTTTTTTGAGGAAGATTAGCCCTGAGCTAACTATTGCCAATCCTCCCCTCTTTGCTAAGGAAGACCGGCCCTGAGCTAACATCCACGCCCATCTTCCTCCACTTTACACGTGGGACGCCTACCACAGATTGGCTTTTGCCAAGCGGTGCCATGTCCGCACCCAGGATCCAGGCCAGTGAACCCCAGGCCACGGAGAAGCGGAACGTGCGCACTTATCCGCTGCGCCACCGGCCTGCCGAACCCAGGGCTTCTTGAAGTGTTGACTGTTTCTATGGCTAGGGCAGGGGAAACAACACGGGCCTGGGACGCTTGCTATGCCAGGAAGAAGAGAAGCCAGCAGATGGGCTTCCCCAGGCCAAACCTGGGATAATTTGAGCACCAAAGTGAGTAGTAGTGTTAATGGATTGTACCCCATTGAATAAAGAAGAATCCACGAGTTCATACTGACGCTGAAGACAAACAAGCACGAGCATGGCAGAGAGGGCTGGGAGAAGGATGGTTCTTTACAGTGGAACGCCCAGTAACAAATGAAGAAGGGATTATAAGAGTTAGAAAATCACCATTTATGCAATTACCATAGTAATAACTTATTTAGGGAAGCATCATCAGTGGATGCTGAAAGTTTGTTCTAGAAAATTTATTGGGGAACAGGGTATTTACATAGTCTCAAAGTATGTTCCCACAGTTATTTATTAAATGCAAAGAGAAAAACAGAGGACAAATCTAGCGGAAACTCCTTTAACCAAGTGGTCAAGGTCAACAGCATCATCACGAATGATACAAACTGACCTAAGGTGTCTCCTGATGTGATGGACTAAATTGCTTAGGTAGTGTTTCCGTCAAAAACGTATAATCCTAATTGACTCATGAGGAAGCCATGGGAACAAAACAACGGGCCTGCACTCTTCAAAAATGTCGCTGTCATGAAAGACAAAACAAGGCTGAGGAACCGTTCCAGATTAAAAGAGATTAAAGAGACATGATAAGTACATGAAATATATGATTCTGGGTTGGGAAAAAAAGATTTTTATGAAGCAGAATACTGGAAAAATTAGTGAAATTTGAGTACGGACTGTATAGTAGATAATAACATTGTCTAAATGCTAAATTTCCTGATTTTGATAATTGCTTTGTGTTCAGGTAAGAGAATGCCATTATTCTCAGGAGACATATGCAGAGGTACTTGGAAGAGAGGGTCATAATCTCTGAAACTAAGTCTCAAATGGTTCAGTAAAAACACAATAAAACAAAAACCTGTCGATTTCCATATGGACTATAATATCTTCCTGAAACTAGGAAATATACTTTAGAAATTTCTATGGAGTTTTTAGGCCTGATTCCACATTTTCCCATCAAATGGCTTTTCTTTAGCTCCTTCTTTAGTTTGTTATAGGGGTTGCTAGAAAGGTAAAGGGTAGTATATTGCATCTACTATGCTTTCTAGGCTAAAGGTGATGCGGTCCATGTCTTTAAGGAAGTGGGATATTTTCCAAGGTACTGACTTTTCCAAACTGCTATAGTCAGACTCATTTGATTTCAAGAAATAGACACTCGAGCTAAAGGTGATAATTGTAACAAAGGGGAGACATTTCCTGGCATGCTACAAATAGGAAACACACTGGAATTAAGTCTCAGAGACTAGAGCTGAAGAGTGGCTGCAGACTTCCGCAGAAATGTGTGGGCCTTCACTCCATGCTTGGCCTCAGTGTGATTAAGTGACACCACACTCTTTCCTGTGTCCAGGTGGCCAGCCTAGGGGTCAAGTGAGGAATGCGCTTTTATCAGTCGTGAGGCCCTTCCTGAAGGTAATAGAAAACCCAATCAGAGTTGTTTAAACATTTATTGTCTTGTATCACAATAGTCTGGAGCTATCACAATAGTCTGGAGCTAGGGTGTGTCCTCAGTGACCTCGTCAGGGACCCAGCCTCCTTCCATCTTTCTGTTCTGTCATCCTCAGCATGTTGGCTTTTCCTCTGAGGTTGGCTTCTTTCATGATTCCAAGCTGGCTGCCACAACTTCAGGGGTTGACAACACCGGGAGACACAAAATGAACTGTGCTTATCACGTGCTCCTTTTTGAGAGCAGGAAAAACTTTCCCAGAAAGCCTCTACTAGACTTCCCCCCCGCACCTCACTGGCAGACTGGCAAGGGAAAGGGCAATTGTCATGACTGACTTAGACAAATCACGATTCACCCTCATAGGTTGAGGAGGGGGTACTCAGCTGTCATAATGCATTTGGACACAGACACCTAAACACATTTTTACATTAGAATAGAAGAAAGGAGAAGAGCTACTGATGGTGGATACAGTGCCACACCCCCCGGCCCAATCAGTGATGGTGATGGTAGATAGTTCTATGGTCCAGTAAATAGTCCTTTAGGGAAAGAAAATCTGTGCACAAAACAAGTTCCGTTAGAAGAAGAGGTGAGCTGCCAGGCAATTATGGCAGCTCTAATATATTAATATTTGCCATATCTATTAACTAGTGATGAAAGTAATTATCTGATGGGTACATTATTTTATTTATTTCAAAATAACTTTTTATTAAATGGTACAAATATCTAATCCTTGTGAAAAATTTAAACCGTAGGCTAAGAAAATAATTGCAGCTGTAAAGAAGAATGAGGAGTCTCTTTATTTACTACAGTGGAGTGTCTTCAGGTCTACTGGTAGGTTAAAAAAGCAAGGAGGAATTTGAAGTTAAGAAAACAATTCCCTTTACAGTAACATCAAAAAGAATAAAATACTGAGGAATAAATTTAACAAAAGAAGTACAAAACTCATACTCTGAAAACTACAAAATACTGTTAAAAGAAACTAAAGAAGACATAAATAAACGGGAAGACATCCAGTATTCATGGATCGGAAGACTCAGTATTGCTGAAATGGCAAAACTTCCCCAGTTGACCTGCGAATACAACGTAATCTCCATCAAAATCCCAGGTGGCTTTTTTCCAGAAATTGACAATTCATATGGAAATGCAAGGGATCGAGAATAGCTAAACAATCTTGAAAAAGAAGAAAGTTGGAAGACTCACATTTCCTGAGTTCAAACTTACTACAAATTCACAGTAATTGAGACAGTGGGGTACTGGCATAAGGATAGACATATAGATCAATGGAATAAAATTGAGACTCCAGAAATAAATTATTACATTTATGGTCAACTGATTTTCTACAAGGGTGCCAACACAATTAAATTGAGCAAAGACTAGAATAATCTTCTCAACAAGTGGTGCTAGGACCACTGAATATTCATATGCAAAAGAATGAAGTTGGAACTCTACCTCATCCCAGACACAAAAATTAACTCACAACTATGAATCACAGACCTAAATGTTAAGAATTAAAACTATAAAACACTTAGAATAAAACATCAGAGTAAATGTTTATGACCTTGGGCTAGGCAAGGCCTTCTTAGACAAAATGCCAAAAGCACAGCAACAAAAGAACAAGTAGATAAATAAGACTTCATAAAAAAAAAACAAACCCAAACTTCTGTGCTTCGGACACCGTGAAGAAAATGAAGACAACAGAACGGGAGAGGATATTTGCAAGTCGTGTGTTGGTAAAGGACTTGTATCCAGAATACATAAAGAACTCATACAACAATAGAAAGACAAATAACCCAACTGATAAACAGATGAAGGATTCGAGCAGACATTTCTCCAAAGAAGATAAATAAATGGCCAATAAGCACATGAAAAGATGCTCCACATCATTAGCAATAGGGAAATGAAAATTAAAATTATAATGAGATCTCATTTCACTCACACCAAGACGGCTATAAACAAAAAGCTGGACAATAACAAGTGGTGGCAAGAATGTGGAATCCATATTGCTGTGGGAATGTAAAACGGTGCAGCTGCTTTGGAAAACAGTTTGGCAGTTCCTCTGAATGTTAAACATGGAGTTAGCATGTGACTCAGCAATTCCACCCAAGTAAAATGAAAACATACGTCTACACAATAATTTGTACACAAATGTTCACAGCAACATTATTCAGAATAGCCAAAAAGTGGAAAAACCCAAATGTTCATCAACTGATGAATGGATACATAACATGTGGTATACCCATATAATGGAATAAATTCATCAATAAAAAGGAATGAAGTACCAGTACGCACACTACATAGATGAACCTTGAAAACGTTACGGTACATAGAAAAGGCCAGCTGCAAGAGACCACATGTTGTATGTTTGATTTATATGAAATAGTCAGAATAGGCAAATCTCTAGAGACAGAAAGTGGATCAGTGGTTGCTTAGCGCTAGGGAGGATGGGGGACTGAAAAGGGTGACTAAGGCATGCAGGGTGTCTTTTGGGGGTAACTAAAATGTTCTAAAATTGTGATGATGGTTGCACAACTTTGTGAATACACTAAAAACCATTAAATCGTACACTTTAAATGAGTGAATTGAGTGCATAGTATGATACCATTTATTTTAAAAGGAAGAATGAAAATATATATTATATATAAATATATATAATTGCACATATATTTACAAAATGGAAGGAGAAACAATAAAAATGATGGGTATTTATATGGCAAGGGAGGGATCAGCACAGACAGGACAGGCGAAGAAGCTAGATTTTTCTCTAATAGCCCTCTTTTATAGACGACTTCAGAACCATTTAAATATTATATATAGTTAAAAAACAAAGTTAAATTTAAAAATGCAATCCCTAAAAGTTGAAATCAAAATTAAACAAATTAACCCAACTAAGTGTTGAGTTAGTGGCACAGTCACCCATGAGGAACCTTTCCAAGTGACTTAAAACCACAGTGATCGCCTGCACACTCCTACCCGAATATCGCCTAATGACAGAAAGAGGTACAAAATGCCCTCCCCCTCCAAACGACCACAAAACACCCAAAACGGTTTTCAGTAATCGTATTGTGGTGGTAGTGCCAAGACTGTTACTCTGAGCCTGTTGTTTGTACGTGGTGGGATAAAGCAAATGAGCCATTATGGTGGGTTTTAGGCATGGGGAAGGGAGATACACATGTCAGACTGATGGGGGTACTCGAGTTTGAATTGGACACATCAATATAAACTCATGTTGTGTTATATCTTTAAAACAACACATTTCCTAGCTCTGCCCACTGCAAAGGTCTGGAAACAATGAACCTCCCAGCAGCAATAAACACCCTTACCAGACTGTGGCCTCAAAAATACCATTTATCACTAAAAAGAACCAGGGTCCCTTGGAGTAATGGCTGATTCCATGTCTGGGGTAGGAAACATTGAAGATCAGTCTGGAACATCCTGTCATTAAGAAGGCAAGGAAGCTATCAAAGACTTAGAGGGTTGTGTTAAAGAACTGAGGAGCTACAAGGGGCCGGCTGGGTGGCGCAGTGGTTAAGTGCACACGTTCCACTTCGGCGGTCCTGGGTTCACTGTTTCGGATCCTGGGTGGCGACATGGCACTGCTTGGCAAGCCATGCTGTGGTAGGCGTCTCACATATAAAGTAGAGGAAGATGGGCACAGATGTTAGCTCAGGGCCAGTCTTTCTCAGCAAAAAGAGGAGGATTGGAAGCAGATGTTAGCTCAGGGCTGATCTTCCTAAAAAAAAGAAAAGAACTGAGGAGCTAATCTGAAGAGATCCCCACTTGCTAAAGATTGGATACTTTGAGCATCAGTAAGGATGATAACTGAAATGGATTAAACACATCAAATATATTTAAATTCATGAGTTTATAATGATACTAAAAAAAACCTTTCATTGGCAATCTTTGATGGACGTGAGAGAACCAACACGTTATTTTGAAAATTGGTAAAAAAGAGAAAGGATTAAGCATGAATCCTGTCTTTCCTGTTGTATTTCAGGGAACTCAAATAGATGTTGGAAGAAAGTTCCTCTTCATAGAAGCGTTTCAGCAAATAAACAAGTGATAGAATTACAATAACACCATTTTGGAAACCCTAACAAACTAATGTCTCTAAGTAATGATAATCAATAGCTTCTAATAGCACAAAAAGAGAGACAACCAGAAATTAACCAGATTGCCAGCATTCCATGTTGGAGAGGATGTGGAGCACCTGGGATTCACATACATGGTTGCTGGAAATGTCAAATGCTACAACCACTTTGAAGAACTGTTTGACAATCTCTTTCTTTTGAAGTTAAACAATCATTTCCATGTCTAAATATTTACCCAGAAGAAATGAAAATGCCCACAAGATGATGTGAACAAGAATGTTCATAGCAGCCTTATTCATAATAGCCCCAAACTGGAAACTACCCTAATATCCACAGAGAGGAGAATGAACAAATTATGGTACATCCATATATGGAACACCACTCAGCGATAAAAAAGGATGAACTGGTGTACTAATACATGCAACACAGATAAATTGAAAAATTATGTTAATTTAAGGAAAGTACACACAAAAGAGTACACACTGTACGATTCCATTTATATGAAGTCAAAGAATAGGCAGAACTCTCCATAGTGAGGGGAGTGAGAAGGTGGTTGGCTCCGTAGGTGGAGTGGAACTGACTAAAGACTCATGAGAGGACTTTCTGGGGTGATAGAAATATTCTACATCTTGTTTTGGGAGAACGCTACATGGCTCTACACAATTGTTGAAACTATTTGAACTGAACTGTTGAGATTTGTGCATTTTGGGGCCAGCCCCAGTGGCGTAGTGGTTAAGTTTGTGTCCTTTGCTTTGGGGGGCTGGGTTTCGTGGGTTCAGATCCTGGGCACAGACCTACACACTGATCATCAAGCCACACTGTTGCAGCATCCCGCATACAAAATAGAGGAAGGCTGGCACAGATGTGAGCTCAGGGACAATCTCCCTCACCAAAAAAAAAAAAAAAAAAGAAAAAAAGATTTTACTTTATCTTAATTATAACCCCATTAAAAAGAAAGACAACCAGATTTTATGTGCCTCCTGATGGGTGTACACAACACTCATCTATAAAATAGTCTTGCCCAAAACATTGTACCCGAATCATCTGATCAAACTTCTAGATCTAAGTATCAATTTATAGGAAATAGAGGAAACAAAGAAACTTGTTTAGGGGGCTGGCCCTGTGGCCGAGTGGTTAGGTTCCTGCGCTCTGCTTCTGTGGCCCAGGGTTTCGCCGGTTCAGATCCAGGGCGCGGACATGGCACCGCTCACCAGGCCATGCTGAGGCGGCATCCCACATGCCACAATCAGAAGGACCCACAACTAAAAATACACGACTATGTACTGGGGGGCTTTGGAGAGAAAAAGGAAAAATAAAATCTTAAAAAAAACAAAACAAAAGAAACTTGTTTAACGATATCTTGGGGATGTGATCAGCAAAACCCGGACCGTGGGGAGCTTTATGGCAGCACTGGCCTTAGACCCAGGCAAGGGGCCCTGCTCTGGCCCTCTGCTAGCTGTGCCCTCCAGATGGGCTGAGAAGTCCATGGGACCAAGGGGACATGCCCACCTAGAGTTGACGCCTCCCCTTCCAGACCATGCTCTGGCTCCGTAGAACCTGAACTTCCCAGTCTATACGCCCCACGCCTACTTTCAGAGCCTGCATGGGCCTGGTCTTTGGTTCATCCTTCCAAGGCGGGACTGTGCCTCCAGCGGTACCTGTTTGCACAGGGTGTAGATTGAACTTGGACTTGTGGGCTGGGGTGTCCTTGAGAAGGGTATGGAGCCAGAGGTGGGAAGAGAATGGGACAGCCTGTGGGCCAAGTGCCAGCTCCCCGGTGAAGCACAATCCAGTGAGGAATTCTAAGAAGTCTGAGAATTCTAAATTCTAACTTGGCTTTCCAGGTCGTTAAGAGGGTTTGTTTGTCAAGGTAGGAGTGTAGAACGTACAGAACTGTTAGCTGGAGCTGAGGCATTTAAATAGTTAGATATATGGTATTTGGGGCTCCATTTGCACTATGGTCCCAGGTCTGTAAATATTAGGGTCAGGCCTACTCTCAAAACTCCTCTTTAGCTCAAACAACACAGTTACTTCCCCAAATAAATTGCAGGGGGGAAAAACAGGGAGAGAGAGAGAGAGAATCTATACATTAGGAAATACACAGACGAATGGTAATGTATGGACCTCGATCTAACTACAAAACAATGTATAAGACAAAAATGTGAACACTGATCAGATATAATTGATTTTATGAAGGAATTGTTAGAAGTTTTTTAGGTATGATGATATTGAGATTATGTTTTAAAAGCATCCTTATCTTTTAGAGGTACACAAACTATCTACAGATAAGCTGTCTTAGATTTGCCTCAAAAACTGGGGTGGGACCATAGATGAAACAAGACTGGGCATGCATTGTAGCTGAGTGGGGTACACAGTAGTTCATACCATTTTCTCACTTTTTCACAAGCTTGAAACTCATCTGAAATCCCACCAGAGATTTCCATTACTAACATTTTGTTAAACATTACTTCTATGTGTACTTACACGTAATTTATATAAACAGGATCACATTTCTCACGATGTTTTGTAACAAGCTATTTTTTGCTCAAAATTACATTTAGTCTCTTATTTATAAGCCTTTAAGTTGTTTCCAATTTTTAACAACTACTGTAATGAACATTGTTGCACATGCGTCTTTTCTGATTTGTCTGATTATCACCTTTGGACACATTCCTAGAAGCATCACTGTTGATTCAAAGGTTTGCATCTTTCACATTTTGATACATGTTGCCACACTGCACTTGGAACGGCCTAACTGATTTATACTCTGACAGTACCCTATCTCCTATCTCTGCCAACACCAACCTTTGTAGTTTTGCTAATCCAATGAAAACATATCTCATTGTTGCCATTATTTGTATTTCTTCACTAACAAGAACAAAAGTATTTCCACATGCTCAGCCATTTGTAGCGTGCTATTTGCTTGTTCATGTTCCTCGCCAGGTTTGTCTGTTAGGGTGCTGGACCTTTTTAGTGAGTGTTAGAGCTCTTTGTATAGTAAGGACATACAGTTTTTGTGATATATGTTGCAAATATGTTCTCGGGTTCCTGCTTCAACATCAATTACAGGGGTGTGTGTGTGTTGGGGGGGGGGCAGGTTGTGTTTGTTTGTTTTTTTCTCCTTGTGATAATTTTTAAGCCAGCCCTGGTGGTCTTGTGGTTAAGATCTGGCGCTCTCACCGCCGAGGCCCTGGTCACTGCCCAGTCAGGGGACCACACCACCTGACTGTCGGTTGTCATGCTGTGGTGGCTGCTTGTTGCTGTGATGCTGAAAGCTATGCCATCGGGATTTCAAATACCAGCGGGTCACCCATGGTGGACAGGTTTCAGTAGAGTTTCCAGACTAAGACAGACTAGGAAGAAGGTCCTGGCCACTCGCTTCTGAAAAAAACTGGCCATGAAAACCCTATGAATAGCAGCAGAGCATTGTCTGATGTAACACCAGAAGGTGAGAGGATGGCGCAGAAAGACCGGGCAGGGTTCCGCTCTGCTGTCCACAGGGTCACTAGGAGTCAGAATTAACTCGATGGCACTAAAAAAAAAAAAATGTAATTTTTAATTTTATGTAGTTTAGCCTAAATTTTAATAGTTTCAAGCTTTGAAGTCATGTTCACCACAAGACTATGAAACTATTCACTCCAATATTCATTTATTCTTACAGCTTATCTTTTATTATAATGTTGTTGTAAAAATGTAAACATCATACTTGACATAAAATTGAATATTTCTTGTACTTTTAAACCCAAAGATAAACACAATACTTTATAGATATTTTACATATAGTAGATACTTTATATATTATATACATATATAATACATACATACTTTTTGCTTCTTTAAAACTTCACACATCTTGGGCATCCTCTTTTTCAATATACATACATCTACCTCATTCTTTTTAACAGCTGCGTGGTAATGAATTGTATGGATAGTTTTCTGTCTTTTTTCCATTATTGTCCCCCTAAGAAGCCTTTCTAGACATTCTTTTCTTAATCATCCTCCCCATGAAATTTCAATACTACATACAAACTATGTATCTGTTTGTGTACTTATGCATATTTGTCCTTTATACATAAAAATAAGTTTTTTTCTGTCCCCCCAAGACCCAATTGTCACCTCCTTGGTTATGAAATTGGCCCTTTGAGAACGCATGGTACCAACACTCCATACTTCAGTTACTCCACATGCGTATATTCCATATTTCAATGTTACGTTATCCATATTTATCTTTATATGGTATATTTTGTTTCTATAGGATAAATTTCTAAAACTGAAATGCTGTGTCAAAAGATATATTTAAAAATTTAACAGATATTGCTAAAGAGTGTACCAATTATACACCAACCAATATATATTGAGAATCTGGCTTCGATTTTTATATTTAAGTCATAAATCCATTTGGAATTTATTCTGGAATGATGAATAAGGTAAAGACCTATCTATTTTTCTCCTTCAAATCTAGCTCATTGTCCTTAAATACTTTATTTACTTAACCTTTTCTTGACTTACCAGATATTAAATATGGCAAATACTCCTACATATACTCACACTTTGAATTCTGTTCCATGACTGCTTATTCCTACTCCATTACCACCCTACGTTTATTATTCTTGCTCTCTATTTTGATATTTACTATCTGATTATACAATTCTTTTTTATGAATTCTCTCCCTATTTTCTTGTATTTTAATGTTTTTTCTCAGTGAATTTTGGAGTACTTTTTCTTAGTTCCAAAACAAGCAAACAACAACAACAAAAGCTCTTAAAATACCATTGGGATTAAGGTTTGGATTGCACTCAATTTACGGATTAATTTAGTGAGAACTGTAGACTACATTATTGAGTACATCGTAGAGTAACAGATTTAAACAACGCACAGAAGAAACAAATAATGTTGATTTAATGATGTATTAGGATGTTCTGAATAGTAAACGACAAAAACCCAGATAAAACCCAAGATTAGCATAAAAGAGAGTTTACTGGCTCCTTTAACCGGAAAGCCCAGTGGTAAAGCTGGTCTTTAGGCGTGTCTGGATTCCTGGGATCAAGTGCTGTCATCAGGACTTAGGTTCTGTCTTCCAGGTTGGCTTCTTTAGCCTCCATTTTAGACAAGCCTCCATGTGGCAGCAAAGGTGGCCTGTCTCCTCTGTGCTTATACGGTCTATAGCACCTGCAACACCAGGGGGAGAGCATCTTTTTCCTTATAGTGCCCGCAAAAGTACCAAGGATGGTTGTCATCCGCCAGATCTGGATCAAGTGTAGGAGTGGGGCGTTGGGAATCAGCTCCACTTGAACCACACAAGCTACAGTTGGGGAGGGGAGGTTTCCTCAAAGGAAGGGATGTGGAGTAACCAAAAATGCAGGAGTTGTGTACTACACTATGCATTTACTTATAAAACAAGAATTTTAAAGAATTAAGAACAATTAAGAAATATCACTAAGTTGAAGTTCTAATACTATTTTTCAACATATCAAAAGTTACTTTGGGGCCATAAAGGTGAAAAGAAACCAAGTAACCGAGTAGGAAAATATGTTGAGAAAGTAAACAAATATTATCTTTGCTGTTGGATAATATTTGTGAGAATTACAATTCTGATTCTTGACAAATGACTCTTCTCTCCTTTCTTGATCTTATTATTGTTTAAATTCTCCAAAATCTTGCTTCATAAATTTATCCTTTTTCGCAACTCAATCTTCTCCTTCTGTTTTTTCCCCTGCCCCTAAGGAACTCCATCCCTACCTCCCTAAACAAATCAAAAGCCTCTTAATTCTACTGGCCTTTTAAGCTCCTCTCCTCATATTCACTGGTCAATTAAAAGCAATTGGTTAGTTGACAGTCATCAATGATTTCCTTAATCACCAAATCCAGTGGCCTTAGAGGCTCCTTCTTGACGGCCTGCTGTCTCTGCAGTATTTGACAGTACAGGCTGACCTTTCTTTCTTGAAACACAGGCTCTGAGTTCCTATGACATTCACTCTCCGGATGCTTCTCCTAGCTTTCTAATGACTTCTTCCCTGTTTACTTTGTTGGTTCTTCTTCCTTACCTTCTTGACATGTCGGGGAGTCTCAAAGTTCTGGCTTCAAACTGTTTCTCCATTCACTATCTTGGCAGTGGCAAACACTTCCCTGCTTTCAAAGGAAAGGTATGCACCTTCTGTTGAGCTGCTTCTGCTCACTTCCAAAAGCTGCATGATCCAATCTTAACTATCCATTATCAAGCTTAACTTCTAAAAAAAATTTGTCTCTTCTGAATCCCATGGTGCCTTCTTTTTTTTTTAAAATGCCACTACTTTCAAACTTGGATTAGTTATTTATGTTTAAGACTTGTCTTACCTTCTGGCCTATAAGCTTCTTTAAGAACATTTTCTAATTCAACTCCGCATCTCCTATACCATGGAGCAGCGTCTTGTGTTAGTTCATTTGTTTATTCAACATACATTATGCACCTACTATGACTGTGCTAGGTGCTGGATAAATGGTGAAGAAACATATGTGGTTCGTGCCCTCATAGGATTTATAGTCTCATGAGATCATATATACTGTGATATATGTTTAATAAAACTCCGAGAATGAATCTTACATCTTTTAACTCCTCTTTCATCTTCTCTCCCCAGACTCCTGTCCTACAATTCCTGCACTTTCCCCTTGACAGTCCCACGATTTCTCAAACTCAACAGCTGAATCTGATTCATGTGCTGTGGACACCTATGATTGAGAAGTTTGTCCTGTGTTCAAAAACCTCACAGTCAAGGGCCTTCTCTCTCGAAATCTTCGGTTGATTTTAGTATTTGTATTAAGGTTACCATCTCCTCCTCATTAGCCAGCAGAAATCTTGGTATTCTCTTTGATTTCTTCTTCTTTCTTCATATTTAATTCTTTTCATTCAAACACTGATTCTTGCTTAGGCCTTTTTATCTATAGCAGAGGTTGAAAATTAGTGACCCATGCCTTGTATCTAGCCAGCAGAGATGTTTTGTTTGTTCTGTATAATATTCTTAAAGATATGGTGTTCTTGTTTCTCTTGAAAACCCAGAAAATCTGGCAACACTGGGTCCTCATTCCTGTAAGAATTGGCTGCACTTTTAGATGGGACATCTAAACTACCACTCTAATCTCTACCACTCCTTATTTTTCTTACATCAGTCCATTCCTCATTTATGAAACCTTCTTGATCCTCAAATTAGGTGTTTGAGTTTGTCATCTCTGGCCTCCGTGAGCACAGAACGTTAGTAATGGAGGAGATACTAAGAGGTCGTCTTGTCTAACAGTCTCCTCTCTCCCCCCCTCCCTCCCCTCTGAGAGATGGAGAAACGGAGCTCCAAAGAACTTACATCACTTGACCAACTTCGTATAGCTAACGTGTAACAGGATGCTATCATATGCCATTAGACCTCTTCCTCACCTTGGTGGGTAAGTCCCTAATCTAGACCCAGTGTCCCCTAAATTCCCCAGCTGAGCCCTCACATAGAATTTTCAGGTTCAAGGTCTCTGTGCTTAAAACTCTTGCTTTATCAGGCCCTGAGCCCTGAGACCTTTATCAGGGAAATTATGCCCTAAATTAGGCCACTTCCCTGTGCGGTTCTTGAAGATTATGATTCTTAAAAATCTGTCCCCAGTCTTTCTGGCTTTATTCTCTAGTGCTTACCTGCAAATGTTTCATAATCCCAGATGTTTATGTGTGTATGTCTGAGAGAGATATCCAAAACGTACCCTATGCTTTCCAACCTTTTTGATTCTGTTTAATGCTATTTTCTCCATTATCCTTCCCCAATGTCTGCCTGATGTAATTTTTTCCATCCTTTAAAGTCTACTTGAATGCTATCTCTTCCACAAAGTATAGTAGTTAAGAAGGTGGTTTGTGGGCCAGCCCTGGTGGCCTAGTGGTTAAATTCGGCATGCTTTGCTTTGGCGGCCCAGGCTCGATCCCCAGGTGTGGACCTACACCACTTGTCTGTCAGTGGCCATGCTGTGGTGGTGGCTCACATACAAAAAGAGGAAGACTGGCAACATTAGCTCAGGGTGAATCTTCCTCAGAAAAAAAAAAAAAAAAAAAAAAGGAAGGTGGTTTGCAAGGGACAGACTTGGTTTGAAATTCTGTCTCTGTCCTTTACCAGCCATGTGACCTTGGACAATTTAATCTCCCTAAGCCTCAGTTTCCTCATCTGTAAAAGGGGAATAATATCCTCTCTTACAAACGGATTGACCATGATCCCACTGGTTGAAAGTATTTTCATGTAATGTGGGAATCCCATCTCACTGTTTTGCCTCAAATACAGTCTTGATTTATAGTTATTCATATTAGCTATTCACCATACTAATTATTCAGCTTACTAGTTATTCATCATATATTATAAATATGCTATTATATATTATAGGTATTTTTCACAATAGATGAGGGCAGGGACTTTGTCTTACATGTGTTTATATTTCTCATAGTACTTAATAAGAGTTTGTAATTACTGAGTTAATGAATGAGTATAACCTGAGATATTCCTAAATTCCATAAAAATAGAATAAACACAATGGTAACAGCTGAATCTCATATTATTCCCTTATGAAGATCCTGGGAGAAATTTTTCTCAGGCTTCTATACCAAAACTATACTTCTCTTAAGCAACTTAAAAAAAATCTCATAGAACATGTGAAACTTATAACTGTTTTCCCTTTGCTTTACTTGCTGGGAACCTCAGAGCCTAATTTGTGGTGGCACCCTTCTAGCAATTACACAGGACCTTTCGGCATGAATTTTTGGGTGTTAATATACTTCTGCCTTTATTTTGTTCTCCAATTGCCTTTTGCCTCTGTTTTCTCTTCCAATCATTTTCTCCCACTATAGTGTATATCTCTTTCTGAGCACACGCAATCTTTTGTGAGAGAGGTTGGGCATCGATAAAACATATGCATTTATAAAATACGCTTTTAAAAATATTTCTTAAAGCTTGTTAAAGCATCTCATTTCTTTTGATCTGACACTTCACAGAGCCATTGTCTACTTCAAGGCTGTCGGGACAGCACTTCCCCAACTTCCTACCCCACTTATAAACTTATTCTCTTCTTTAAAAGAGCAACATTTTATCTGTCCTTACAAAATATATTTATCCTGTAGAGTACAGATAAGCAAAAAGCAGGATAGCTAAAAAACAAAACAAAAAAAACCCTGCTGTAAGAACCTACATACTGCTGCTTTCATAACTCACTTTTCTCTTTTTACAATGTATTGTACACATCCTTCCTTATCACTAAATAGTCTTCTACATCATCCTTTTTAATTGTTCAAAGCATCCCACTGATTGTGTATCAAAGTAGTCAAGCAGACTGCAACTCCACATTCCCTTCCTAGAAAATCCGAGGATCCTCTTACTTAAACTAATGAGTGTTATCTGCAACCATGTTATCTATGTCTAAGAAATACGAGTGTAATATATACTTAACCTATCTTTCATTGGTGGACAAGCCGAAATGAACTCCACCCAGCTTAATACATATGTGCAGTTTTGATTACCTTCTTTTGAGAACTTCCTAGAAGTATACTTGCTTAGTCAAAGTATACACACATTTTCAGGGTTTTGATACTTAAAATGCTCACTGGAGGGGGAGATGTACCCGTTTCCTTTCCCACCTGCAATGTCTGTTTCGGTGAACCCTTGCCCAGTATGCATATTAGTTCTTTTTAATCTTTCCCAACTTAATAGACATTTAATATGCCATTTATATTTGTTACTAATGTGGCTGAACATCCTATTTATTGTCCATTTGTATATATATATATTTGTTACTATTTTGCCAATTGGTAACAGTTTTTAAATTATTAACATCCATATTCACCTTGACATCCTCTTCCCCAGTTTTGCCTCCTATCTAAGCCAATTTATGTACCTGATCTATGGATCTCATCTCTCCCTATTTCTTTAGGGATTCATTCACTTATCCTCTTTCTAGGCCATATCTATAGCCTCTGACTCCCAGTTTTTTCTCTTGTACTAATAAACATCACTATGTATATTCTCATTAGGAAAAACCCCAGCTTTTTTCTTTCACTTGCCATTCTCCTCTGGCTACTGACCTTTTTTTTCTCCTTTACAGCCAAACTTCTTAAAAGAATTGTCTTCACATGCTGCGTCCACTTCATCTCTGTCTCTTCAACTCACTACAAACAGATTTACATTAAGGTCTTCGATCCCTTCTTTGTTGCCAAGATTTTAATAGCAGAATTATATCATATATAGATATATGTATGATATATGTATGTGTGTACATATATATACACACATGTGAAAAAGGCAGGATACAAAACGGTTTTCCCAAATAAACTCAACTATGTAAATAATATTTATGCAGAGAAAAAAACTGACAGGTAACACATGAAAATTTTAAGTTACTTCTGGGTAGTTGTATGACTGTTAAGTTCTTCTTTTGAAAACTTTCCACGATTTTAAAAGAATAATTTACTTTGATATTAGAACACACTACAATGTAAACTAGAAATTCTCAACTTACATTTTCTAAAAGTAGGCAGAAAGCTAGAGAAGTGACAGGAGCTACTCTGGGCCACATTTCATCTCGTCGGAATGCTCAAAGACGAACCAGACGGCATGACCCAGATCCCCCGGGCAGGCGCTCCTGCGGGGCACAACTGGATAACCTCCTGACAGGAGAATCTGCTCTTTAAAAGGGCCCTCTTGCCCGCTTCGCTCATCCCAAACGACCTCTGAGCATCTCAGCCTCTCCAGCTAACCACTCCAACCCGCGGATAACTGTCAACCGCCTCCGGTTGCCCTGGTAACAGCCAGCGGACGCCCAACCCCGCTTCCGTAACTCTTCCCAGAATGCAGCGCGTCTTATCCCACTCACTTCCGGGTTCGGAGGGCTGACTCCTCCCGGAAGTAAATGCCTGTCTGTCGCCCGGCGGTTCCTAGGGGAATTCCTGGGCTGAGTGTAGTGCATTCCTGCGGAGGGCGGCGGTGGCTATTCTCTTCTTTCCCAGCAGTCACGATGACTGGAAAGCTCAGGGAAGGCTGTAATCTCACCGAATTTTTGTTGGTCCTCGATAAATGGATTAGACGTTAGTTATTAAAAAGCTGAAAGGTGGAAAGCACTTTAAAATTATATGCAACTTCATTTGTTGCTGTGATATATTTAAATAACTTCAAATTACTTCCTATAAAAAAGCGATTATTTTTGCTTCAGAAAATGAAGGCAAATACAAAACAAAAAACTAAAATCCCACTCACCAGAAACAACCAATGTGTACACTTTGGAGCAGTCTTCCAGACCCTTTCTATGCATATAATAAATTAAATGTTAAAATGGAGTCACGTTGTATATGCTGTTTTGTAACTTACAAAAACTTTCATGAACATATTTCATTAAAAAAAGACACTTTAACAACATGGTTGCATGTATTCCCTTGTACCTTTTGTTGAACATTTAAACAGTTTCTATCCTTCTTGCTCTTAATTAGTGCTGCAATGGAGAAATGGAAATCCTTATAAGCTGAATCTTTCTCTATGCTCTCATTTCTTTGTGGTAATTATTTTTCTCTTTTTAACTTAGTTATTTATATTTGCACTTCCCTATCTCTTCCTAATGACTTCCCATTCCACCCCATGTCTTTATACTGTAAGTGGATGAAGTTACACATATGGCATCTGAAGCCTACACAATTTTTTAAAGTTTATTTTTCTGATTACAAAGGTAATACATGCTTATTGTAGAACTTATTAGGAGAGTTTAGAAGAATATAACAAAAATATTCCAATACCTAGACAACTGTTGATCATATTTTGGCATAAATTTATTCCAGCTTTCTCTGTCTGTTGCCTTCAGAATGAATATTGAAAACATATTTGCTAATTTGGAAGGGAAAAAGTGCAGCTATTAATTTGCATTGCTTTACTTATTCATGTAGCTCAATAATATTTCAAATAGTATTTCAAATATTTATAGGCTATGGTCCATTTCAGTCCCTATCCTCCCTATCTAGCTTTCCCTGAGTATTCCAGACTAATAACACTAACTTGCAATGGTATAGTTTCCATATATGTATGTTTAGTTCCCTAACTAGATTGAAAGCAGGTTGTGTGATCCTGGATAAATTATTCAGTTTTGCTGAGCCACTTTCCTTATCTGCAAAATAGTGATAATAATACTTATTTTGCAGGATTGCGGTAGGGATTAGAAATAACATATCCAAGGTAAGCTCAATAAAAAATGGCTTTTTTTTTTTAAACTTGTAGCTGTAGCAGTCTAGGTATATAGGAGGTATTCATATTTTTATAACATTTCAAATGAGTGAATAATCCTAGCATCCCCCGCAATTTAGATATTTATTGAGCATCTGTGATACATAAGGCACTCTTCATAGTCTTCTAGGCCTCCTGAGTCTATATTATTTAGATATGTTTCTCACATACGTAAACCATATGCTCCTCTTCGACCTCAGCAATTCTCTTATTATTCTGTTGCTGCCACCATGCCTGGCCCATCACAGTAGGTGTTGAATAAATGTGTGAGCTGAACTGAGTAATTTAGAGGGAAAAAGGAAACACAAATTACTTAAAACCTGCCAGGCTGTGATGAAAGCCATAACAGGTACAAAGTTCTTTGTACCATGGGAGATCAGAGAGATTAATTTTGGTTAAGGTATCTGGGGATGACCTGTGGAGGTCCTGTGATCAAAACCTAGATCATAAGGACTGAGAAAGGGGGCTTAAAGATGGAAGTATGAGTTAAGGCTTGGAGGTAGAGGTAAACAGGTTGTGTTTTAAAAAGAGAGTTATCAGAGTTATTTTGGGTGGCAAGAGGGTAGGGTGGGCGAATGGGCCCGGAGGCGGCAAAAAAAAGGTAATTCGATCCTGTATTTTGAAGATTTTGATGTGACCAGTCATTATAATTGTAGCTTTCAAACGTTTCTGGAAGACACTGCTTTCAGTATTTCTTGGGGCGTCAGGAAAGAGGTGGGCCAGACTGCTGATGGAAAAGGCAGGGAATGGGAGGATGGCAGAGACCTTCAGAGGGAGAAGGGGACGTAGTGGCCCGTATTGGCCAGGAGGTGAGGATGGAGTGTCTACGAGGAGGCGGGGCTGCGGAACGACGCTTATGCGGAACGGACAACCACGCAGAGGTGCAGCGGCCAAGCCCACAGTATCTCGGGGGCAGCGGGCGAGGGCGAGTCTCAGCTCCGCCGGCCTGCACCCGGCCCGGAGCAACTGCCCTGACCCTCTGGCCCCGCCCCACCCCGCCCCTCTAGCCCTGCCCCGCCCTCTAGCCCCGCCCCGCCCCTCTAGCCCCGCCCCGCCCTTTCGCCCCGCCCCGCGCTCTCGCCCCGCCCCTCGCCTCCCCAACAGCTCAGCGTCCCCTCCGGGCTCGGAGCTCCCTCCGGCCAGACGTCCTCGGCCCCGCCCAGCGCCCCTCGCCCCGCCCAGCGCCCGGCCGGCCCGGGTAGGAGGGCCTGGGCGGTCGATTTGGCGGGAGCGAGGTTCCCCTTCCCTGCGTCAGTCCCGGCCGCCCGAGGCTGGAGGAAGCGGCGGCAGGGTCTGCGGGCTGCATGGCGGGAGCTCGGGGTGAGCGCGGGCCGGGCCCCGCCGCCGGGGAGCCGCAGCCGCAGCAGCCCGACGCGTGCCGAGTCTTCCCCGAGCGGCCGGCCCAGGGGAAGCCCCCGCAGGGCGGGCTCCTCTCCCGCTTCTTCCCCAGCGACCAGAAGTGCCAGCTTATGCTCCTGAAGACGCTGGAGACAAGTAGGAGCCGAGAGCCGGAGGCCGGGGTCGGCGGGGCGCTGTCGGAGCCCGGCCGCCAGGGGGCTCGGGGTCAGCCCCGGGGGCGGTGGCGGGGCCCGGTGCCCGCCGCTCCGCGCAGAGTCTAGGCAGACGCGGCCTCGTGCAGGCGGAGTCGGGGTCTGGGCCTCAGTTTCCCGATCAGGAGGCGCCGAAGCCCCTTTCAGCACCTCTCTTGCTTGTGGAATGGAGGGGAAGCGGGCTAGGAGTGTGCCCTTTTCCAGCACTCTCCCTGGTCTGACAGATCCTCTGATTTCGTATGTAAATTATACAGCAATATGGGGACTCAGAGTCCCGCTGACGCAGAGGTTTAAAGAGCCACGTTCATTAAGGCACACTTACCGCTGGCAGTGCAAAAACAGTTTTGCAAACTACCTTTCCTTGGGAGGGTTCTTAACCTCCATACGTGGATGGGCCGCAGGGTGTAGAAACCGCTGAAATGGACAGCGAAATCGTGTGTGTATGCACCCAAATGCATTTTTCTGGGGAGAGAGTCCATAGCTTCATCATATTCTCAAAGAGGCCCACGACCCACAAAGGGTTAAGAACCACTGCTGTGGGTGAAATAGGGACACAGTTACCTGCTGACCAATTTCTCTCAGGTCCCAGGACATTGCACTAGAGATTTCTTAACTCCTTTGCACTCACATAGACTTCCTAAGTTCACTTCAGATACATTTAGAAAATTGAAATCTTCAACGGACTTGATCCAAAGCAAGGTTACTCTTTCATAGCTGGCCAGCCACAGTTCACAAGTCGACCAGCCCCAGATTTTCCAACCTTCTTGAGATTACCTGCATATAGGGAGGCAAGGGAGGTGGGAGGAGGAGGGGGCCTCAAGGGAATGATCACGTTGTATTTCCTTTGCGAATATGTATTGCATGCCTCCTAGGTTCTGGTGTCGGGAAATGCAAAGGTGAATAAGGACCCTGCCTTTAAGATATTTCAAAGTGGAAGGCAGTGAAAAGAACATGGGCTGCAGAGTTAGACAGGGGTTCAAATTCAGGTGCCTCTCCTTATTAGGTGTGGAAGAGTGATTGCGCTCTCTGATCCCCTCTATCCTTATCTGCCAAAAAAAAAAAAGGGAGGGGGAGGGGTAAAAGTGTCTCTTTTAGGGTTGTTGTGAGGGATAGATATTTTGAATGTAAAGTGCCAGCATATCAGGAGCTGAATAAAGGGTAGCTGTTCTTACAGTGGAAGAGAGGCAGTGGAGGAGGCGTTCAGGTAGGATGTGAGGAGGGTGAGGTGCCTTACCAGGCCTCCACCGTCCAAGGGGAGGGCGGCTGGGAGAACGCATTGGTGGTATTAAAGCCTCACCCTGTAGCTTTAACATCCTGTCGCGGGGGCAGGGGTGATGGGAGAAACCGGCCTCGTGGAGGACCTTTCTTTCCTTTTTCTCCAAAGCTTTCTGAGCACTGCAGGTCCTTTTTGAATTTCTAGACAACTGTGCTTCCTGCTTATTTTTTTCTTTTTGTTTTTTTTAGTAAGAAGACTATAGATTTTTGAACCTACTTCAACTTTGTAAAACTCTCTTAGTTGCTTTAATAATGCACTTTGTATGGTGCATTACCCGACACCTGATATGCACTGAATAATACTTATAATTGTCTTACGGTTAACACTCTTAAGAGGCGCAGGTTAGGAAAGTGGTAACCTATAACTAACTTTCTCATCCCTCACTACTTTTATTTTATTCACCTGTTCTTGCTTTCAACACTTAAAAAAACCCACAAACCCTTGATTTCTTTTCTTTTTCTGTGTTTTTGCGTATATCATAATTTGCCCTGCGTTTTCCTCTCAGACAAGACACCTGTGTGACAAGTTGCTATTAGAGGCATTTGGGATCCTTGTACTTTCCTGTAATCGTCACAGGCTCATAGAGATGCTTAGAGGTGGAAGGGCCCTCAGGAGTGGTCCAGGCCTTTCCCCGCTCATGCAGGGAACCTCTGTGCCATCCTGAGCAGAGAGTTTACAGACCTCTGCTGGAACTGGGTCCCTTCTCCTGGAGGCTACTCGTCTATTGTGTCAACAGCTTTGATTGTTGGAAAAATCCTTTCTTGTACTGGGTTGAAATCTGCCCCATGTAACTTTTACCCTTTGGTCATTGTTTGGCCCTCTGAACAAATATTGACTGACTCTATTCCCACGTGGCACCCCTTCAAATACTTGAAGCTACTGTGGTCCCAGTTTTCTTTTTCGTTTCCAAATCCGCAAATCTTTTCTTGCTTCTTACTGAACGTAGTCCTGCGCTAGTCTAGTTGCCTTCCCCCATGGAAGAGCTTCAGTTGGCAGTCCTGTTTAGAGTGTGGTCTCAGAACGGGACACTGTGTTACCAGTGAGGTCTGACCAGGACAGACGACAGTGGGGCTACTGACTCCCTCCTCTAATCTGGATACTGTGCTGCTCTTCATTCTATGCATGTGGCCCCAGATTCCCTCTGTCCTTTGGTATGTGCTTGTATGCAGTGTGTTTGATCCTTTAACTAAAAATGGCCTTTAAAAGCATGTTTGATATTTTCTAAGATGTTGGCAGTACCCATCTTGGTACTTGTATCAGTGTTTCATTTCATTAAAGATTTGCTGTTATGTTAATTTAAGCTTGTCTTTTCATATCCATTTTTACCAACTTTAAGATAGTATTGCTTCATTAAGACTTGTGTGTTACTTTTTGATAATATGCTGCTATTTGGATAGTTTAATTGGTGGCATTTTTTCCTATTAGCATACATAATTGAATCAATATCTTTTTAGATCCGTATGTCAAACTTCTTCTTGATGCCATGGAGCATTCGGGTTGGTAAGTAAATCTTTTTGAAGTGCTGCTCTATATCCTGGCTGTTGAAACCAAAAATCCAAAAAGCTGGAACTGCTTCATGCCACAAAGCCTTTTCTGCCTGGTTGGTGGTGGTTGTCTGCATCCTCTCCGGGCAGGCCTTGTCCCCTTCGGACATCTGCTGCCCTAACTCTAAATCTCTGGCCCTACCATTCATCTCAGATATTTAGTAAAGACGATACTCAAAATCTTTTTATAAGTGATTACCAAACCTGGCTTTTCTACTACACCAGCTTCAGCATTCTCCTTAATGGAGAAGAAATCTCGGCTTGTTATGTAGGAGCCTTGCAGGTGTTGTTTAACTTTGGGGGGATTAGAGGAGGTGACTTCTGAGGTCCCCTTCTTAACCTTCTGGCCCAAGGGTGGGAACTCCAGTTTATTTCCAGTGTGGTCTTCATCAGTGGACCAAATGCTTTATGGAATCATGTCGTAGGATTTGAACTAGGATAGATTTTGCAGAGACGATTTCCTTATTTTACAGAGGGGAAAAAGGAGTCCTGAGGGAGTTAAGTTGCTTTCCCAGGGTTTTCTCTGTGTTAGTGGTGGAGGGGATTGATGACACGGGTCTCCTGTTCCCCCACGCCACGTGTGCACTGCTTCTGGACATTGTCTCTTTACTCTGTTCTTGCCTTTTAGTGCTGTTAACAGAGAAAGGCACTTTTCTTGTGAAGATTGTAGTGGGAACGTCAGCGGAGGTTTTGACGCTTCGGCATCTCAGGTGGGCATTTTTGCCAAATTGTTTGCTTTCCTCCAATTCTCTCTCCTGATGTTTGCTGAGCATCTTCCACATCCTGGGTGTTCTGTTTGTAGACTTTGTGTAGGATTCAAAGAATGAACTAGTCATGGTTCTGACTCTCAGTGGGGAGACAAGACATGAAGATGGACAATGATAAAGTCTGAGGCAGCTTAAACTGTTTTAGGTGGGCGTGGTTCCCACAATGGGACAGTGGTGCAATTGACTAAAAGATGCCAACAGGTTCAGCGAGAGGATATAAAGCCTCCTCAGAGGCAACAAGACAAAGACTGTTGCCCCAGGCAGGGGTGGCAGGAGCAGGGCGGCTGTTGGGAAGGCACAGGGTGTATTTTTTGGCTAGTTTAGCAGCAGGGCAGGAATGCATGGGGAAAAGGAGGGGTAGGACGGAAAGAAGGGTCAGCCCTGCAGTGGGAGGCTCTGTCTGAGTGCTGCCTCGAGGAGTTCACCTTTACTGGTGAGAAGTGCTATACCTTTGAAAATGTCTGATTAGGCGAGTGAGTTTTCTCATCTGTAAACTGTGGGTGGTGATTGTCTCTGTCTTATAGAATGGTTATGAGAATTAAATGAGATGCCTCTTGTAAAGTGCTTATTGCAGTAAGTGTAGTAAGCATTCAATAAATGTTATTAGTTTTAAGTCGTTGGAAGGTTTTGACAGCGTCTTGGAGATGGTAGATGGATTATATTGTGTGATGAGGGTAGATAAAGGTGTTTTGAGTGTCTCCACCTTGAATATATAAGCCACATTTAACTACACTTAATTGTTTCCTGGGGAATTTTATATGTATTTTGGTTATTTATGGCTATTTCACAGTAATCATGGGAAAGAGCACTATAGCGGAGGGGTGAAGGGTCTGGGTTTTGGAGTCGAGTAGACTTCGGTTCAAATCCTAGTTCCCCTGCTTATTAGCTGTGGGGCTTGGGCAAGTTATTTGCCTTATCCTCAGTTTCCTCATTTGTAAATTGATAATCACAGTACCTATAGCTCTCAGAATGGGTCTTGGTAAGTTCACCCCCCTGGGGTTAAATAGAGTGGATATTTTGAACCTTCATGTTACTTCTCAGCAGTGTTGAACACAGTTGGGCACTCTCTTCTTTTATTTTTTTAAATTAAAATTTGTATTGTGATGTATCTCATCCATCCAGAAGAGTGAAAAACCTTTTTGAACACTTTTGGTCATAATGAGAGAATGAACACCTGTGTAACTGCCACCCAGCTTTGAGAGAGAGAACACTGCCCGGTCTTGAGATGCCCATCTCCCTTCAGTGCCCACCTTGGATCACATTCCCTCTCCCGTCCTTGTTCTGACTTTTGTGGTAACCATTCTCTGCTTTTCCGAATGGGTTTTCCATCTATATATACAGTCCAATAATGTGTTCTTTAGTTTCCTGCTTTTAAGCTTTGAACATGGGATACTTTGTTCTATGTAGTACATACTTTGTAGTTCTGTGAAAACATAGAGTATATGTATATAGTCTTCTGTAACAATTCTTTTGTTCACCATTGTGAGATTCTTCCATGTTGTTGTGTTCATCTTGTTTATTTAGTTTCACTGTTGTATAGTATTCCATGGTGTGTCTGTACTACAGTTTACGCTATCTAATATTGGTTGTTTCCAACTTTGTTATTATGAACAATGCTACTGTGAATATTTTTCACCCTTTTTCCTGGTGCGCTTGTGCAAAAGTTACTCTAAGGAGTGAAATCGCTGGGTCACATCATCTGCATACACTTGACTTTTGCAGGTGATGCCACACTTCCTTCCCATGGTTTCCAGAACATGACACTCTCCTGGTTGCTCCTTTGCCAGCTCGCCTTCCTCTGCCAGCCCTTATATGTTGAAGTCCCTTGATCCTTGGTGTTAGATCCCTTCTTTTCTTACTCTATACTCTGCCAAGGGGATCTCATTTATTTTTCTAGGTCAGAGCTCTCTTTTGAACTTCACATCCATATACCCGAGTGCCCACTTGACAGTTACATTTACAGGCACCTCAGAGCTGACATGTCCAAGTCCAAACTGATGATTTATGCCGTCCCTCATCCCCACCCAACCTGGTCTTTTATGCATATCTCAGTGAAAGGTACCACCATCCATCCTATTACCAGCAATTTTGGGGTCACCCTTGATCCTTCTGATTCCCTGCCTGTATTCTATCCATCACCAAATTTTGTCTCGTTTACCTCCTAAATACCTTTTTCAGCTCCCACCGTCCTAGCTCAGACACCATTATCTCCTGCCTAGAATACTTCATTAGCCTTCAGCTGGTCTCTCTGCAGCCAGTTTTGGTCATCTTCTGCTTATTTTTCCTGCTAGAGTCAAAAGCATAAAAACAAAACAGAAGCGGCCCCCTTGCACTGCTCCCTTCAGTGACTTCCCTTCGTTCTCAGGAGAAAGAGTGATTGACCCCTGTGACCTCCCCAGCCTTATCTCCTGCCCACCACCTCCAGCCCCGTGCTGCAGCCACGCAGGTCTGCGTCCAGCCGCTCCAGCGTGCTCTTCCTTCAGCGCCCCAGCCTTTGCGTAGATGTTTTCTTTGTCTAGGGTGCTCCCTTCCCCTCTCCTCACATTTAACTCCTCTTTGCCCGTTAGATCCCAATTTAATCATTCCTTCTGCAGAGAAGCCTCTCCCAACCTCCAGACCAGGTCAGGCATTCTCAGTGTGTGTCCTTATGACAACCTGGGCTTCCCTTCATGACAACTGTCATTGCATGTGTTTAAACATTTTGGTAACTATTTGGTTAATTTCTATCTCCATTAGTTAATTGTAAATCTACGGATAGGTCTCAATAAATATTAGTTGAATAAATGAATGTTGAATGAATGTATATAGAATATCTGGCACATATCCCCGTGTCTGGCACATGGTAAGTACACAGTAAATGGTACCTATTGTTATTAGGATCCCTCATGTCTTTATTATTCTTATAGGGTCCTGCTCAGTGTGCCGTTGGCTTTTGCACTTCTTTCTGAAGGTCTTTCTGAGGATTTTTCCTGGCAATTATAGTAGAATGGGACAGTGGTGGTCATTCATTGTTGATTCATTGCTCATTCAGAAACTTGCTAAGAAGCATTTTACTTATATTCTCATTTAATTCTCACAATCCTATGAGGTAGGTACTCTAATACTCTCCTTTTTATAATTGAGGAAACTGAGGCACAGAGAGGTTAAAAAACTTGCCCAAAGTCACCAAGTTAGTAAGGAGTCGGGCTGGAATTTGAGGCTGTCCGTTTCATTCCAGAGACCACTCTGTTAATAAAATGCTGTGGAGGCCAGGACAGGCTGAGACTGTCAGCCCGGGGAGGACGGCCTGTGAATAAACGTCCTTAAGCTAAGAGCTGCTTAGTCCAGAAAGAGGAGAAGGGAGGAGTTAGTCCCTGGGGAAGGCTTCTGGAGCACGGGTAGTTCCCACTGGGCCTTGACGGATGGATAGGTGTGGGGTCGGTGGAGAAGAGTGGGTGGAGGCCTTCCAAGCAGGTGCGCCCCCTTGTGTGAGAGAGGGATGGAACCTATGAAATAAGAGTCGATGTTAGAAACAACCAAACTTCTCTAATTTGGTGCCTCCTAGATTGTTCTGTGCCAGAATAATATCCGTAATCAGGCCCATATGAGCAGAGTGGTCACCCACGAGCTCATTCATGCATTTGACCATTGTCGTGCTCACGTCGACTGGTTCACCAATGTCAGACATCTGGCCTGCTCAGAGGTGAGTTTATTGTAGGAGATACTGTTCCCCTCCCCCAACAAACACTCTGTATTTGAACATTTTATTCAAGTATAACTTATTTAAACATATTCCTTTTGTGTTACTGTCTTAGTTCCATGTTAGTCTTGAATTTGTTTTTAACTATTGATTACAACAAGACATTTTAAGTGTCATTTTAGAAGTGTCTTAAATATAACCTTTAAATCCTAATAATAATGATGACTGACTTTAATGATAATAAACTATTTTTCCTATGGAATAAACTATATAACAGAAAAATAATAATCGTTAACGTTTGCCGAGGGCTGTGTGCAAACACTGGTCTGTTTGTGGATTCGTTTTTAGTCCTCACAGCAGTGGCTGGTAGCTGATGTCATCCCGGGTTGTACATGTGGAAAGCGAGGTGCCTGTTTAGATCCCGTGGTTAGGAAGAGGCAGAGGCGGGATTGCAGCCAGAGCTCTTAACTGGTTTGCTGTGCTGCCTCCTGTGGGTGAGGCTCCTTGCTTGTCCTAGCGTAAAACCTCAAGAATACAACATAGGAGGATGTGCGTTAAGCACTTTGGCTGCTCTCAGAAGTACACGTATAGGTCTGCTCCTAGAGTGACATGTATTTCGTGCTTGCATTTTATTAATTGAAGACTGCAGTGTGCTGAGAAGTTAAAAAAAATAATATAAATTTCACGCTTATACTTTGTAACTTAGATTATTTTCTCTTTCCCTTGAAATTCATAAGCAGCCCCACTGCATCTAATTATAACTCATATTATTTGGAGAGTAGACTGAAACCTGAATTTTTAAATAGGTCTGTCTTGGGTCTTATGAGAATTAATGCCTGCTAGCTAAAGTGTGTTAAGTGCCTGAGCTCCTCAGAGAAATGAGGCCATGTTATTGTAGAAGTAACAAGAAATGGGCCATTCTTTTTTTTTTTTTTTTTTTTGAGGAAGATTAGCCCTGAGCTAACATCTACTGCTAATCCTCCTCTTTTTGCTGAGGAAGCCTGGCCCTGAGCTAACATCCATGCCCATCTTCCTCTACTTTATATGTGGGATGCCTACCACAGCATGGCTTGCCAAGCAGTGCAATGTCTGCACCCGGGATCCGAACCAGTGAACCCCGGTCCACCCAAAGCAGAATGTACACACTTAACCACTGCACCAGTGGGCCGGCCCCTGGCCATTCTGTTTGTAGTCCATTAGCAAAAACGTGGCTAGGTTGACTGTAGAGTCTATATGGGTAGTTCCAAGACTTTTTCATCCAGTAAAGCTGTTTTTTACTTTAAAAATATAGTAAATTAGAAAACGTGTCCTAACCTGTCAACACTCATAGCATGACCAGTTTGGAATGTTCTTGATTCTTTGTGCTTTGTACCACTTAGTGTTTTTTTTTAAGATTTTATTTTTTCCTTTTTCTCCCCAAAGCCCCCGGGTACATAGTTGTATATTCTTCGTTGTGGGTTCTTCTAGTTGTGGGATGTGGGACGCTGCCTCAGCGTGGTCTGATGAGCAGTGCCATGTACGCGCCCAGGATTCGAACTAACGAAACACTGGGCCGCCTGCAGCGGAGCGCGCGAACTTAACCACTCGGCCACGGGGCCAGCCCCTGTACCACTTAGTTTTTTATAGGACACTTGAGGCCCTGGAGGAAGGAGTGAACTTACATGGATTCAAGGGAAGGCCCAGGAGGGTTTCATAGATTTGGGCTGGGTGGGGGTTCATATGCCTGAAGTGGCTTAGATGCTGATGTATGCAGTTTTTTTTTTTTTTTAAAGATTGGCACCTGAGCTAACAACTGTTGCCAATCTTCATTTTTTTTTTTCCTTCTTTTTTCTCCCCAAATTCCCCCAGTACATAGTTGTGTATTTTAGTTGTGGGTCCTTCTAGTTGTGGCATGTGGGACGCTGCCTCAGCATGGCCTGATGAGCGGTGCCATGTCCGCGCCCAGGATCTGAACTGGTGAAATCCTGGGCCACCGCAGCGGAGCGTGTGAACTTAACCGCTCGGCCACGGGGTCGGCCCTGATGTATTCAGTTTTAAGCTCACATTGAAACTCAGTTTGCAGATCTTTGGAAGAATGCTTCTTGAAGTGCTTTTGGTCGTTTCTCAAAGTGTTTGTATCTTGTAGAGAGTGTAGATTTTAACTCTGAGGTCTAACTCTCTGAGTTTTTGTTCCAAAAGAGCTTGGTTCTGTCGGGGAGGCTGCAGTGTGACGTTTGGAACGTCCCCTTTGGTGGACGGTTGAGCCCCTGCCAGTGTGTTTGGCATTGTCTAGCATGGCTCATGCATAGCTGCTCTTTTTCTGAACTGAAGAACTTCCTGATTTGGTAGAGTTTAAAAAATTCTTTAGAACAATCTTACAGGTACTCTGTTCTCAGAAAAACATGGTACTTTTATATTCTGTTACAGTTTTTAAAAACCATCTGAAGGTGTGGAGCTGGAGCGCTTACCTTCTCTTCGTTTGCCGTCTGTCTTTGTCTTAGGTTCGAGCTGCCAACCTTAGTGGCGACTGCTCACTCGTCAACGAAATATTCAGGTTGCATTTTGGATTAAAACAACACCATCAGGTAAAAACTAACACATGAAATCACTTACCCTCAAGTGCTGAGTGGAGGCAATGAAGGAAGAAATGAGAAGTACATTTAGTATTTGAAATTGGAAAGAACTACTTATATGAAAAGAACACAAAAATGTATACCATTTAAGCCAAATAGATGGACTTTAGTTCTGCTTTATAATTCTAGGCAAGCTGTGTGACTAAGTGAGAATTTTAATAGTGAACAGCACTCTGATCTCGTTCTGGGGTGCTTCTGGATGGGGGTGGATACGGAAAGGAAGTGAAATCACAGCCTGTCTGACGTTAGCCTAGCAGTCCTGGACTTGTGTTTTGAAACTACGACAGTATTCTTGAGACAAAAAAGTACCACCTTTCAGAACAGAGACTGCATTGCGGCACAGGTTATGGGTGTGTGTTAGCGCACCTTTAAAGGTTGTGTGATGGGAGAGCTAAGCTGTGTGTTGGCATGGACTTGATTAGGATGAATTGAGCTGAGAGGGGTTGTGTAAACAAAACAAAACAAAAAACGAAACTAAAGGCCAGATCATCCTGTTAGAATAGAAAGCTTTTAAGATCCACGATGGATGGAGGTAGGCAGAGGAAGCACAGAACTGGTAGACTGATGATGAGTGAGAGCCATTCTGCCCACAGCCACCAAGGGGCTCTGTGTGCACGCTTGGGAGATGGCCGGTCAGAGATGTCCTATGGGAAGAGCTGGCTGGGCCAGTTTGTGAGGCGCACGGGCATCAGGACAGCAGTTTCAACCGGCTGCAGAAGGGATGGGCTTGGAACAATACGGGAAGGCCCTTGGTTCTCCAGAGAAGAGAGTCACTCAGCTCTGCGGGGGAGGGTGGACAGTCCCAGGGAACTCCTAGGAGAAATTGTGAACTCAGTGAATGGTACCAGAAGACACGCCTGCTGCCTGGAAAGGTGATTGCTCGAATCCGCTGTTAGGCTTTCAGCCTGTGCCAAGTGAGCTTACACCACTGGCTTGTCTCGTGCCACGTGTCTTCTGTGCCCTCGAATCCCTGCTTCTCAGTAAATCCGGCTCAGCCCGCCTTTGAGTGGGCTGTGCCTTCTGGCTCTGGTGGAAAGGGTGGAAGGAGGGCGCATGTCAGCCCACCCTGAGAAGAGTATTCTCTGGTGACGGCGTGTGGCCCAGGGCCCGGAGGCTTCGAAAGTCTCTCCCTGTCTCACCTTGGGTGGCAGCAGCAGAAAATGAATAGAACTAACAACAGGACAGAAAATGCGTGGAAGTAGTGGGGAGTTTAGTTGAGGGGGAAGAGTCTTAGAGAATGGAGACCCTGCTTTTGTACAGCATGTGCCCAAGAAATATAAACACCACTTCTAATAACTGAAAAATTGCCCAAGTTATTTTTTTAAATTTATTTTATTTTATTTATTTTATTTTTTTCCTTTTTCTCCCCAAAGCCCGCCAGTACATAGTTGTATATTCTTTGTTGTGAGTCCTTCTAGTTGTGGCCTGTGGGATGCTGCCTCAGCGTGGTTTGATGAACAGTGCCATGTCCGCGCCCAGGATTCGAACCAACGAAACACTGGGCCGCCTGCAGTGGAGCGTGTGAACTTAACCACTCGGCCACGGGGCCAGCCCCTGCCCAAGTTATTTTAACAGAAATTTATACATCTTTAAAGAAGTCAATCTGAATTGTGGTCTATACTTGTGTCTCCCAACCCCGTGGGAGACAGATTTTTACCACTGTTTTTTTCCCTGCACGGGAGAAATTTCCTTTCTTTCTGGCATTTGCTGTCACGGCTCCATGAGGTCCTTCCTCTCCTTCTTATTTCTTTGTGCCTGGGGCTTGTTTTTAAAATCAGTGTTTGGTGTGGGTTAGGTTGGGAAGCACTGGCTTATATTCCAGTGTGAGTGGGCATCTCCAGCTTGGGCATGCTGACCAGGCCGAAGTAAACATGTGGACAAAATCAATAATTGTCAGGACACACAGCCTTCAGAACCAGTGTTTGGTTATTTTTCAGGAAAAGGTTAAAAGCTATTCTTTTGAGTTTTAGTTTGGGTCTGGGGAGAAATTAGTAGATGAAAAGCTCTCCAATAATTGGAATGGCAGACCTTGTGTTTCTTAGAATACTTCAATTAGAGTACTGAGAAATTCTAGTCTATTACTATGTAACATTAGGTAAATTATTTTCTTGGGTAGAGAGCTTTAGTACCCAGGCAAAGAATACTCAAGAAAAAAAGTTGTTTGATTTTGTTTTTTTCCCCTGAAAAATTAAGACACTTTCAAATTTTGTGTGTATATGTGTGTAGTTTTCCTATTGCCTCCAGGAGAGAGTGCCCTTCTCGAAGGAAAAGTTATCTAGTGTTGGTCAACTGGAAGGTTAAGGAAGAGAGATGTAGAAGTGAAGTATATTTTAAATTTATTTAAATTTTATTAAAATTCAGCCAGAACCTTAGTTTAGAACTTTTTTTGTGATTTTGTAAATTGAGAGTTACTGTGGGAGACATTGCCCAGAACTTCAGAGAATGACATCTACTTGTTACTGGAAAAGATGAGAAGATGGAGGAAGTCTTACTTATACCTAAATACCTTTAGACTGAGCTAAACATGCTTCATAATTTAAGAGTTATGTTTCTTCTTTGGAATGACAGAAATTAGTAAAGTGATATGAGAGGAAATTAATTTTTATTTTGGTTCAGACATTTATATAAAATGTTATTATTTCATGATTAAATTTTCATATAAAATTAAAGCCACATACTTTTCTTTTTCCTTAGACTTGTGTGCGAGACAGAGCCATTCTTTCCATCCTGGCCGTTAGGAATATCAGCAAAGAAGTAGCACGAAAGGCCGTTGATGAAGTTTTTGAATCTTGTTTCAATGACCATGAACCTTTTGGAAGGATCCCACATAACAAGACTTATGCAAGATATGCTCATAGAGACTTTCAAAACCGTGATCGGTATTACTCAAATATATGAAGACAATGACATTTTATATTAGAGAGCTTCAGTGATCATGAAGAAAATATGGTTCTCAAGTGCACAAACGAATAAAACGTAAATGATCAAGTAAATACGGATAAAACACAGAAGATGCTGGTTCTAGCGTATGATCAGAAAAAGTTACCCTGGCAAAAAATGATACTGCCTTAAACTCCAAGGCAAAAATTATATCTTTACAGCTAACCATTTGGTTCATAAGGCAAATAAATTACATTTTTGTATTTTCTACATTGTACTTGTGTTTTATTATTTGTGTTTTATTTTTTATTAATGTGATTTGTTTTTATTACGTGATTATTTTAAAATTTGATTATGAAACCTGTGAAGTGTGCCCTTGTATGATGTTGATGGGTGACCACTGTTGGTATTTACAATAATTGTAAAGAAAAAATGTACCAATCTCATTCCAAAGTATTTGTTGAGATATCGTCGTGATCCTAACATGCAAAGAATGAAAGTTGGGAATAATTCATTCAATGATCAGTGCTGCCCCTCTCCCTGCTCTTCTTTCAACATTCAAACAGGCAAAATCAACACCTTTTTGTGACAAAAACACTCAGCAAACTAGGAATGGAAGGAAACTCCCTCAACATAAGAAGAGGCATACATGAAAAACACACAGCAGACATCATACTCAGTGGTGAAAGACTGCATACTTTTTCCTCTATGATCAGCAACAAGGCAAAGGCCTGCTTTTGCCAGTTCTATTCAACATATTATTAGAAGTCCTAGCCAGAGCAGCAGGCAAGAAAAAGAAGTAAAAGGCGTCCAAATTGGAAAGGAAGAAATGAAGTTATCTCTGCAGATGATATGATCTTAAGTATAGAAAACCCTCAAGATGCCACAAAAAATTGTTAGAAGTAATAAATGAATTCAGCAAAGTAGCAGGAAACAAGGTCAACACACAAAGATCAGCACTATTTCTATACACTAAAAATGAACACTCCGAAAAGGAGATTAAAAAAGAAATTCCGTTTACAATAGCATCCAAATGAATCAAATACTTAGGGATTAACTTACCCAAGCAGGTGAAAGACTCACACAATGAAAATGTAGAAGTTACTGCTGAAAGATCTTAAAGAAGATATAAATAAATGGAAATACGTTCCATGTTCGTGGACTGGAGGACTCAATGTTGGCAAGGTGCCGATGCTCCCAAGGTGATCCACAGCTTCTCTGCCATCCCCATCAAAATACCAAGGGCGCTTTTCACAGAAACAGAAAAGCCCATTTTAAAATTCATATGGAATCTCAAGGGACCCTGAAATAGCCAAAACAATCTGGAAAAAAGAAAAAAAAAAAACCCAAAGTGGGAGGACTTATTGACCAATAGAATAGAATAGGGAGCCCAGAAATAAACCCTCACATACAAAGTCAAGTGATTTTCAACAAGGGTGCCAAGACCATTCAATGGGGAAAAGACAAGTTTTTTGAAAGATGATGCTGAGAAAACTGGATATCCACATGCAAACTAATGAAGTTGGGCCTTTACCCAACACCATATACAAAAAATAACTAAAAATGGATCAAAGACACAGAAAGCAAGAACCATAAAATGTCTTTAATTGGCAAATTAGACTTCATTCAAAATTAAAGAAAAATAAAAAAATTGAAAAATATTAAGAAAATGCATAGGCAAACTAAGGACTGGAAGAAATATTAATTTATCTGACAAAGAATTCTTATGCAAAAATGTAAAGACTTTCTTTAACTCAATAGTAAAAAGATGAACAACCCAATTAAAAAATAGGCAACACACTTGAACAGATGCTTTACAAAGGAAGATACATAATTGGTCAATAAACACATGAAAAATGTTTAATATCACTAGTCATTATAGAAATGGAAATTAAGACCACAGTGAGAAAACACTACACACCCACTAGAAAAGCAAACACTTAATGGACTGCTGACAATATTTGTTAGGATATGAAGCAGACAGAATTCTCAGACACTACCGGTAGGAATGTAAAATCATACAATCTCTTTGGAAAAAGATTTGGCAGTTTCAGGTAAAGTTAAACATACACCTTTCCTTTGACTCTGCTATTCCCTGCTAGGTATTTTACTTAAAAGAAATAAAGAAAGATCCACAAAAAGACTTGTACAGGAATGTTCATAACAGTCTTATTAATAATACCTAAAAACTGGAAACCACCAAATGTCTACCAACGCGCGAATGAATAAACAGTTGTGATAGATTCATACCATGGAACTCTTCTCAGTGTTAATAAAAAGGAATGAATTACTGATAAACACAATAAGATCAATGAAGTTCGCAGACATTATGCTAATTAAACGAAGCATAAGATACAAAAGAGTACATATTTGATGAAATATGTGAAATATTGATGAGTATATGAAATTATAGATCAGGCAAAACTAATCTATGCTAAAAAAATATCAGAACATGGTTCTGAGGGGTGGAGGAGAGGACAAAGAATGGACTAGGAAGAGAGAGAAGGAACTTTCTGGGTTGATGGAAGTGTTCTATATCTTCATTCTAATGTGAGTTACAGAGATGTATCCATTGTCAAAGCTGTGCATTAATATTTGAGCCTCTCAATATATATAAAATTTACCTTAAAAATAATTGAATGGTGGGTGGAGAGTAGCTGGCGGTATAGATTAAACAAGATGGCAGAAAGTTGAAATTGTCATAACTGATGGATGGCTACAAGGGTATTCATTATACTATTCTGTTTACTTTGTAAAAGTTTGAAATTTTCCACAAAGTATTTTTTTTAGTTGGGGGAAATGAGTTAAAGACGAATATTCACTGAATTCTAAACAATATAATCTTTTTTTTTTTTTAACTGAAATCATATGAAAACTGGTATAACCACAGTCCTTGCTTGGCAGAAAATTGAGTGCTAGACAATTAGAAACCATTGTTTCGTTCATTTCTGACCTTGGGAGAGAGAAGGAAGGGCAGACTGAAGAATGAAACAGGACAATCTTAGTCTGTAGCCATCAGACCATGCTATTTCAACTGTTCAACTTCCCCTTCTCCAGCGGACAGAGGCATCCAGCCAAGATATTACTGAACCTAGTTATTTGTTAATAAAACTCACTTCAGAGCAATGCCCTGAGTGTATACTTAATTAAATGGTAATTTATGTTGATGATAATGTTGCACTTGAATTTTCAAACTTTTTTCTGAATTTAAAATATTTGAGAAGCAAGAGCCAAGCGTTCTGCTAATAAGCTGCATTTTTCTTGCATTGTTTTCTTCTTTCTCTTCCCTGCTGATTTCTACTTCTCACTTTTGCAATGTAGTGTTAGAGTCCCCAAGAGCAGGATTTGGTTCTATAGACATCACCAAGTAGAATATCTGGGACTTTATATGGACTATATTCAACAGGTACTAATGCTAAATTAAAAAGAAATAAAAATCACGTGCCATCCTAAATGGCAAGTGGCAGCTCTCTGCGTGCTAAGTGCATCCATGCTCCACACATGCAAGGTGATAAAATAAGAGGAAAACAATCAAACGGGGAAAGAAAAACTCTCCTTACATAACGCTTCTTTTTCTGAAAATTAATGTCACAGAGTCCCTGAGCAAAGGCCAAAGCTATATGCACCCTCCCAACCTGGCTCTGTAGGGTCAAAGCCAGACATGTCTGGAGCAGGCCAGGCAGGCCACTGGAGCGGCCATTTATTGGTAGGAGGCCCTGAGGAGCCTCAAGGTGGGTGGTCTCAGGGCTCACTGAGGGACCCACAGCTTCCCCTCCTTCTCCCAGCCGTGTGTGAGGAGAATCCATCTGAGGGCAAGAATGGACACTGCGTTCATTAATAAATATTTCTCAAGCACTCACTGTCTGTCACATGTGGAGGTGGGCACTGGGGATACTGAAGAGACCAGCACGGATTGGATCTTTGTCGTCGTGGGGGACAGCTGCTCCAAGGAGGAAGAAGGGTGGGGTGATTTGGGGATATAGAACATGGCACCCAACCTAGAGGAAGTGACTTTTAAACTGAGACCTGGAGTATGAGGAGGAGGTAGCAGGTCAAGAGGGAAAGGGACTTCCGGACAAGAGAGGAGCCCCGTTGTGCGAAGTCTTTGAATGGGGCCGGGGTGTAGGGAGGAGGGCTGTGGAGAGCGACAGTGTCAGACAAACTACCTCGTTCCCAAGGAAACTGGTACCCAGTTCCCAGGGAGAGGAGAAGCTATGGGACCCGAGCGTCAAATCAGGAGGGAAAATTTAGTGGAAAGCATGAAATATTCTGTAAACGTTTTAGAGAAAACTGGAGACATCTGGAAAAATTAAGTTAAATCCCTAACTCTAGAAAATAAATCCTAGAGATATCAAAGATGTTAATGGAAAAGAAATCCAGAAACATGAGAACATATGAGGTGTTTTTCCTTAATAATCTTAGAATGGGAAAGCCCAAAGTAACACAAAAATCATGAAACCATAAAAGGTATTGATATACTTAATGGCATTTTTTAAACCTTCAAAAGAATAAAGTTAAATAAAAGACAATATTTTCAACAATGTCTCCTGAAAGACATGATGTTATTCATAATAAACTGATGACTATAAATGTTTTACAGCTCCATAGAAAACAACTCCACAGAAAAAGGAGCAGATGACGTGAACAGCAGATACAAATGGATATCTCTTAAGCGTAGGACTTGTGTGACCTTTCTCACAATAAGAGACGTATGATCGCTGATGTGCTGCTTTCACCTGTGAGGTTTGCAGGGCTCGGGAATATGATGCGCTGCCGTACATTGTTAGTGAGGGCGTAACCCCTAAGGAGAGTAATTTGACAGGTGTTGTTTAAATACACACACTCTTGTTATGGAAAGATCTCCATGATATATTCCTAAGTGGAAACATTAGGGCATTGAAGAGGGAAAGGGGGAGAGAGGCAGAATGTACATGTGTATATATACATCTATATATACATGAGTATCTATATGTAGATAGATATACATATGTTGTAAGTGAGTGGCTATCCCTGGAAGTAAATACAATGAGCTATAAATAGAAGTCACCACCAGGGAAGGTGAATCCGGTATTAGAGAGGAAGTGTTCCTATTCACTGTGTACACTTTTGAACCTTTTGAATTTTGCATATGAGCATGTATTATCTAAAAAATTTAATTAAATGCACACTCACTTATTGTTATTCTTCATAATTTTTCCAACTGTTATGTCAATGTAACCAATGAGTCTTTGTTCGAAGTAAGAGCAAATAGTTGCAATGTTAACCTAGATGTTG